AAGATGGGTTTTTCTTTCTCAAAGCCAGCCTTCACATGCCCTCAGATAAGCCAGGATCCAGGCAGGGCATGCCACCTGTCACCAGTAACAAACGACTCCCCAGAGCCACTCGGAGCCGTGTGTAGCAGTGTGTATGGCTTTAGTCCTCGGTTTGCAATAATTTTTTAGTAAAACATTGGAGGGAAAAGCAATTTCGGGGAATCATTTCGGATATCTTTAGTCAACAAAGGAACCCACCAAGCCCCGGGCTATTATTAGTCGCTGTTGATGCTCTAATCGCATTTACGGCACGCGACACGTAATTGCCGGCACCTAGATATCTCTAGTGGGTAGTTTAGAACTTTTAACAGAATGGGTATGGAAATGTTTCATATAATGTTAAAAAAATATAATTGTTTTATCAACATTCTGGTATGGTAAAATGTTTGTTTCCCCTTTAAAGTTGTCACCCATATTCATTTTATTTAAAAGGACTGTTTATTTGAATTACAGTGCACAAGTGGGAAAACTGCAACTCAAGTGGTCTTATCGAAAATGAAGTAGCCATCGTAGATGAGCAATTCCTGCCCTTGATAAGCTCATCCCTAGGATGTATAGATTTCAAGTGGGCGGTCCACTCAGAGGCAGTCAAGCATTATACGGCAATCAGCTCGATAAACACATGTGTGGATTTCAAAGGACGAAAGTAAATTGTGATTGCGGAAGCCCGTTACTGCCAATCTCTGGCGCAATCAGAGTTTCGGCAAACTGGAATTCATTAATTTGGCAATAGTTAGGACTAACTTAAATAGCAATCTACGCTTAGTTATGGGTTCAAGAAAATTTAGAGACTTCGTTGTATGCAAAAGCCAGGGGAACAATGAAAAAGTTTCCACTGCACTTCCGGGCCCAGGGAAAAGTTTTAGTAACTCCCTCGTCCAGAAAATGCAGTTATTTTTGGCAATGGCCGACAAGAAACTGACTTCATTGTTGGCCGGGCCAACAAAAAGCGTTACAAGGAAACTGCCAAAATAGTTGCAACTACTTCAAATGGGTGTGGGGCCTTACCCGATTGGGTGTAGATGGAATTAGTGGGAGCTGTTGGGCGAGGGGTGTAGTTCAAATTCTCAACAATAAAACGCCATTGAAGCTCGTCGTACTGGCTCCGACTTCTCGCCACAGAGAAACATATATACATATGTATATTTATATATGTTCTTAAGTTCATGAGAATATATTCTACCCACCCACTGGTCTTGATGGGCCCGGAACTTCCGGTTCGGCGATATGCGCCAACTTTCAGACAATCATTCTGGCAGTGCCCTTTCTTGGCCAAAGGCAAAAGCTTAGCGAATTTCGGGCCAGAGCTATAAATATGCGAAGATACATATGAGAGCCACCATTGCGTGGGTGTATGAGCCACAAAACCCGACTGGACAACAATTTTTTGCTTGAATTGATTTAATTTATGAGCTGACTTAATTTATTTCCGCCAAGAAAAACTATTCTACATGAATGCCAGAATCAGACAAGTTTAATTGGCTTATAGGATAGTCAGGGCCATTATTTTTTTCAACTTTTTCAGCTATCATCAAATATTAACTATTAAATAATTCATTTTAATTGTTTTTTGTATAATTTTTATTCACCACTGTCATCTTTTGACATTCTCTTGTGTATTTATTTTTTGGGGAATTCTGAAAACCAATTACATGAGTTGTTGTTTGTTTTCTCAACTTAATTCTTCTCGTTGGAAAATCAACTATGAACTAACTTTTTGTTATTGCTTGGCTTACTTTTATGTTCACAATGAATATCAACATCTACAAGAACAATAAACAGACCAAAATAATACAAAAGCCAACAATAACAGCAAAAACATAAAACAACCAACGGAATGGCAATAAAAAGAAACATTCAACTCTGGCAACTCATACAACTTGTCAGAGTGCGGGAAAAGGGCGAAATTGGACAGAAAAAATTTCGAAAAAGTATGCAATATTTTTTGTGTGGAATCGCCTCCTGCTGTTGGTCCTTCAACTTTTGGTGGCTCGCTGCTGACTTGGCAGGCCCGACACAGTAATTAATGCTTGTAAATGCTTTGTGCGGGTGGGTGAACATATTGTATATGTGACTGTGTTGCCGAAAATTCAGATACTTTGGGGAGAGTATTCCCATTTCGGTGCTGGGTTGCTCAGGAATAATTTAAATTTTTTCTAACCATGAATGAAAATTGCTAAATTTATATATTTAAAATATTTATAATATAGTTTATAAACATTTGCTTTGTGAAAAGGTCACGAGAAAGTCTCTGAAGAAGGTGTTTAGTTTTCTTTTCTTCCCAAATTCAAGAACATTTTCTCATATAAGAAAATGTCTATCAAATTTAAAAAGCTCTTTAAAGGGTATCCGCAGTTTCCAAATCTCTGTTATATTTTCTTTTCATTCCAGAGCTTGGACTTGGTTGTTAATTGCATGTTTCCAACATATGTTTGCTTGTAGCTGTGGATTTTTCCCCAGCCTTCAAGTGGGGCAATTAAAAAATGTTGCTAAATCCTTGGTAGCAAAGACATTTAACTTTTTTGGAAATTGTAGGTACCTTTCCGTTTTTCCTTTTATGCTTCGTAGCTGCTATGTAACACATGGCGTATGCGTGTTACTTCTGCAGGCGCCAAGTTTCGGACAAACTTTGTTCTTATCAGCTGGCGATAAAAACATAAAGGAAAAACCTCACCATAATATATGTGCTTGGGATGGATGGGAATGTGCAAGTTTTATAGACACATCTGGCGGTTGGCTAAATAAATTTCCAGTTTGTTGTTGCTCGAAAGTTAAACGTTCTTTTTCCCTATTTGTTGCATATGTATACGTTTTTTTTTATACACATGCACATGCTTTATGGCTTTAACCATAGGAGGCGGAATAGCTGTGTTTCCCCCATGATAACTTGACCATTAATGGTCGCCAAATGCTGGCAAATTGATGTTCATGCTGGGAAAGCTTTAAATGGATAGCCAATGGTATTTCGCCCGTTTTATAGACTTTATAAGTTAAACAAAAATTCTAACAAAAAGCTTAAAGTTTGTTTAAGTATCTGAAAAGTATCTAAGTGCCAAGCCGTCCAGTCTTAATTATTCATGAAAAGTCCTGGCGTAAGGTTGATAGTCACGCCCTGTTCCCTAGTCCACTATCCAGGATAATAGCATTCGATTGGGCCTGTAATTACCTGTGTCATTTGATAGCCCACGCAGCTAACACCTTAAGTGATTAGGCACTTTATAGCCGAAAAGCGTTGAATCATTTTGCACCTCACAGCTGCGGTTGGCATTTCGTATTAGTTCGCGTGTCGTGTCCTAAACATTGCGGTTCAGTTTAGTTCCTTTTGACCAAGGCTAAGGTGCCCTGACCTTACCACAAAGACGTGGCTGATTAATGAAATGGAACTAGAACAATTATTTGTCTTTTATGGTGAACTGCGAGAATGGCCGATACTCAGGTGTACTCTGACCTTATCTGCCCTAGCTTACAATCCAAATTCTGACCACCTTGACTTTTTATAGTCGCTCTGGCCAGGATGTTATTTATAAAATTTCTATTTGCAGTTTCGCGTTGCATACATCTAGGCGTCGGCTCTCGCTCCCTCTCGTCCGCCCACTTACAGAACAACAGCAGCCACTTTCGTATAGGCTCTTGGGATGTTTGTGTGGGTCCGTGTGAGTGACTGAAACTAGAGCGCACCTTGATGCTATTTTTAAACGCCACACAAAACGACACAAACAACAATTGTCGCTTAGTGGCGCGTTAAGTGTTTTCCATCCAGCATCACCCTCGAATCCCATCCACCCACCGCCCATTCCATCCCCTCCATCAGTCAAGTTCATTTCATTGTTGCCGCTGGTGGCAGTGCAGGTGCAGCTCTTGTTAGCTGGAAGCACTTAAAATAGTTGGCAAAATAGCGTCAAGTATTATATAAATAGATAAAGAACTCGGTTTAGCAGAAATCTCGGCACGAGCATTTAACATTTTTTAACTGATATAACGCAAAGCGATGCCAATAAATGTCGATAAAACAGAACAAACATAAAAGCTAAGTTGACTTTATAATCGGCTTGTGCATCTAAATGGAATTGGCAGTTGGTTTATAGTTTATGGTTGAAATGCACGAAATCCGGTTACAACCTTTCAATTGTTGCACTAAACTATTGTGGGTTTGTGTTTTTTTTTAATGTCGGGGAATCAAGGATCAAATCGCTCGGAAATGCAAAAAGAATAATTATAGTTTCAACAGCAAGATAATTCCATTACCAAGGTGGGGTAGAAATTCAACTAGTATCTAGATATCTAAAGTTGTATAAAAAACTACCTTTGCCATAAATAGACTATACAAGTTATAGAATACCAAGATTAATGAAGAGCTATACGTTACAGGATATTTTGAAATCTTTAAGAAAATAAATATTCTTTTATTCTTTTTAAAAATGTCAAGCTTTTCAAGGAAGTTCTTCAAAGAAACTCCCTCTTTAGACCCCAAAATTGAATAATCTTTTTCTTGGAAAACCAACAGAGAAGGTGTTGGCAGTTATTTTCAAATTCATAGTGAGCATTTGCGATTTGGCGCGAGTTTATGGGTGTGTATGTTAACGTCTATTTGGTATGTGATGGTGTGCGGCTTTGGCGCCTAGTCAAATAAATCGCATGCGATTAAAATTTTATACAAATAGCTGGTGAAGCGTGCGTTTTGCTTTGTTGTGTTCCATTCGGTTTGCTCGCCCATACTTTTCACCTTTCTTTCTCTAGACTCGGGCTTTGTTGCTGCCTTTTTATGGGGCATGGCGTCAGTTAAATGAGTTGTTGTTTATAGTTCTCGAGCATGTGTTAGTGACATTGTGTGTGTGTGTTGGTGTCGGGGTGTAGGCGAATGCGAAAAATTTGCATTTGTAGCGTTACGCTTTTGTTTACTTTGTAGGTTAGTTTGTTTGGCCATTCGTGTGTATTGTGTGTATTGCTCCTCACTGGCATACCTATATTTACCTTCGATGCCTTTTGACGGTGACGAAAGCGGCGCTGTCGAGGAGAAAGCGGATGGAGGGGTGGAGCGAAGAGATGGCCAAGACGAGGAGAAAGGCTGGATAGATGGGTGGGTGGTATTAACCTCAAAGCATTCCAGCAAACAGCTCCTTGAAGCACTTGACTTGTGTTACTAATCGTGTATAGTTTGCTCTCCGCTAACGGATATAAAGGATATTTTTCTCGGCCTTGCGTGTCTCGTTTTAATTTGTTAATGACTTTGGCTTATTAATTTATTTGCATACTCGCTCGGTGCTCACATTTTTGCTAGCTGGCTAAATTCCTTCGTTAGTTTCACGTTAAAATACCGATTGTTCTTGCTGTTTGCTGTTGCCGTTCTTGTTTTTGTTATTTCTGTTGCTGTTTGGATTAAAAAAAAAATACCAAGCAGCCTGCACAACTCAAGAAGCAGCAAAAAAGGAAAAAGAAGAAAAACTGTATCTTTTAGATCCGGGCATATCCTTTATCTCGGACACAGCGACAGCGCTGCCGCAGAGGCGCTGACAGAAGCAGCAGCGACAGCAGCAGCTGTAGCCGTAGCTGGAAAATTTCCCACAACTTGTTCCTTTGGGTTTTACTTTCAAAAAATATATACTTGATGCCGCTCGATCATTGTGGCTATTTATTTATTTATTTTATTTTTTTGTAAGCTAATTTTTCATAAAAAAATGAACAGCAGCAGCAGCAACAATCGTTACCATTAATTCTAGAGATTCGGTATCAGCAGAAACCGCGCAGCGTTTTCCCCATTTCCCTTTCCCGTTTTCCGTTTACCGTTAAGGCTCATACACACCCGCACACACACGCACACACCTTCACCTTCACTTCGCACAATTTGGCCAGAAACCGTTCGACGCGCGCACGCGAGTGTCCTATACACAACTGATTACAGGACTGCGAAAATGGAAAATATTCGCCAGCAGCGGGGCTTCGGTTTGATTCGCTTTCGCCTCGCTTTCCCTTCGCTTCGGGTCCCCTTCGCTTCGGGTAGCTCCGTCGGAAAATGTCCTGCCAGCCAGGCAGCCAGGCTTCTGTTACCGAAATTTGACTAAGCACAGCTTTGTCGCAGGCTCCGCTGCCTTGCTGCCATGGTGCCGCTTTCTCTCACGCAACGCAGTACATCCGGAGAGAACACAAGCCGGAGACGGCGAACCGGAGCCACTCCGCCGGAGAGAAATTGTATACTAGAGTGCTGCCGGAGCACAGCAGCTGGAGCTGGAGCTGCAAGTGGGTGCGAACTCACATGGGTGCGGGTGGGATATATCATGGGTCCTGAGTGGAATGGCAAACGTAGATGGTTAGGTTACAGTGGTATTTGCTAGATCTGATGGAAGATAATTTTTGCAGGACTACATTGCGTATGAGTGATATATGTCATCTAGATCTTGATTTTAAGAAAGTTAAGCAATAGATTACGGTTTTAATCTATAGTATAATTAAGGATAATATTGATTTTTTAATATTTTACAGTAAGAATCCTTAAATATTATCAAAAACAGTGGAATAACTCTAATATAAGGATTTTAATATTATACCATTAGGGGCAGTTCACAGGTCGTATGATTAATATTCTGAATAATAATAGAGAATTGGGCATGCTTCTTAATATTGTAAATTATTAGGACTTTAAAAACTTCAACTATTGCCCTGAATCCCTCCCACTGTCCTTACCACTGTCATATCCTTCATTCATCTTGCTCAACCCGCACAATTGGCTGCCAAAAATATTGCCACACTTCGCACTCTCCCATCGTCGGCGTCTCGGTCGGTCTCTTAACACTTAGCAGTCAAGCAGTCTGGCAGCCTTTACATTTTTGGGTCCCAAATGGGGTCTGCTGTTAGGTTGCTGTTATCCTGCAGACTGAAGACTCGAGAGCTCCTGAAAAAGGACACTAACGAGTTTTGGGATGAACACGATGCCCACCCACAAGGTCCCGTTCCTTGCCAAAAAGTCACGCCTCTGCTTCGCATATGTTCGTGTGGTTGGACACTTGCACTGTTTTCCACCAGCGAATGGACACGGAAGGTTTCCCGTCCAAATGACAAGTGGTTTGTGTTTTGCATATGAGGATTGCACTGAAAGAAATACTTTTAAATTAATCAGAGATTAAAGATGTTGTTTTTTGAAATAAAAGAACAAGTCGGAAGAATTAGGTAGCAGATAGAATAATGTGATGGTCTAGTTCCAAAAATCTTCACGGTATGTAAACCATTATACACCTAATTTTCTTCAGTGTCGTATTTAGACGCTTGCTTTTTCATTTTCCTTTTTCAAGTCGCAAATAGGCAGCTTAAGGAGGGGCGCTGCGGGAAGTGTTGGCAGCACTTGGCCCACGCTTGCGCGGCTTCAAATTTAGCGTATTAACTCATTAAATGTTCAAAAGCTCATTGCCTGCGAAATGTGCACACATTTTGTGAGACTGCGATTGTGTGTGGAGTGGCTCCAGTCCTGGTGTGTGAGGGTGTGAAATATGCATATGTGTCGCCTGCTGACTTTGTTGTTGTGTTTCAGTTCCTGGCACTCGCTGGATGTGGCGAGAATTTTTAATACCGCTTAATGGGCAATCAGCAAGGATTGTAGGGAGCAGCTTCCATATAAAATGTACCCTTAATTAAATTTTGTAGCCTCTATGTTTTTAATTAAAAAAAAAAACCTTAGATGGAGCTTATTTTTGACTCAGAATTTTTTTTGCATTAATATTTAATGAAAAAAACTGGGGTAACTATTAGTTGAGACCTTGAAAACCTTCCCTTTGTCGCTTTAATCGCATCCTTTTCCTCACCTCCCTTCCTTTATGCAATTTAAATTAATTTCTGTAATTATTTTAGTGGCTTAAATGGGTTTATTTCAACACCCTCTAACCACTTTCACTCTCATACTCGCCACTTGACCAGTATCAACAGGGGGTATTACGCATACGCCACGTTGCATGCGTCTTGAATATTTTATGGTGGAAATCTGGGGCCCCGGCAAAAATGACAGCTGCGTGTTGAAAATAATTAAGGCGCAATTATAATGACCCTGGCCACGAACCGCTGGCATTCACCACTCACCCCACCCACACTCAACACCCACAACTCGCCACTGCAATGTGTTGCATGCAACGCTAGACACTTTGTCGGCGCAAACAATGACGAAAGCCATTCATGGCCATCGAGCTTGTGCGATATCTTGTGGGTTTTTTTTTTTATATGGTTCCTTAAATACTCTTAAATAGAAGGATATAGGAAAGAAATAAGTATAAAAAGACTATATATAAATATTGAGAATACAAAAATGCATCCCTGTTTAGTTAAAGAAATAGGCGATTGTGGAATCTAAAAATTCGAAATGCAGTTCAAATGACTTTTCTTTTGTTTGCAAGAAACACGTTTTAATTTGTAGTTTAGAAGGACACGACCTCTCGAATAAATACATTATACAAAATACAATAAATAACTAGTACAAAATCTTTTCATGATTATAATTGATGATAAATTTCAGTTGAGACAATAATGACACAAAATGCGTTCAAGGGAAGGCAAAACACTTCCGTCCATTTTTGGAAGAGAAGTATCAACGACAAGGCTTTACTCCGCATTGGCGTCGATAAGGGCAGGCACTTCGGATATGTCGAACGGAGGCGCTGAGGAGTCTTCGCTTGAGATTGCCTCAGATTCGGCCACGGTTTGAACAGTTTGCTCCTGGGTCTTTTTTACATTGCTCGCATCGCCAGCTGCCTGCAGCTCCACTGCAGCATTTTCCTGGACAGAGCTGAGCTGCTCATCTGAAGTGGATGATGCGGCAGCGGCCGCCGCTGCAGCTGCTGCCTTCGCCTTGGACTTCTTTTCCTTCTTGCGAATGTTCTTCTTGGCGTTGTTCGCCTGTCGCTGTTCTTCTGCCGCCTTATTCTTCTCCTCAAGAGCGGTTTTTGATTCGGTGGCCGTGAGCAGTTTCATTTGGTTTTGGAGATTAGCCAAAGTTTGTTTCAGTTCCGCACAGTTTCGAGACATCATCTCCATTTTGACATTGTCTTGAGTTGGTTTTTCATTTACGGGCTCGGGCTCTGGCGGCAATTGTGGCAGTGCGGGGATCTCAATGTTATTATCTCTTAAGCTCTTGTGCAGCGTGGTTCTTTCTTGCTGCAAGGCTCTCAGCAATTTCTGCAGCTGCTGAATTTGCTTCTGTAGCCGATCCGTATGCTGGGAAGAGAGCTGCTTCTCGGTGGCAAGATCAATCACCATCGCGTTGGCCTTTTCGTACTTCTGTCGCCAGCCCAGAGCCTCCTTTTCTATCTTTTTCGTGTGCTTGGACATTTTGTCCAACTCAACCTTGTAGCTTCCGAATACTTCGTTCGACTTTTGCAGGGATTGCTGGAAGTCGTCGTACTTGGCCGTGTAGATATTTAACTGTTCCTTTAACTGATGCTCCCTCTCGGTTAGATCCTTGATGGCTCGCTGCGCCTGCAGCAGCTTTTCCAGACCGATTTGGTTTTCTCTGCAAAGGTGGAGAGGTTAGGATAGCTTATAAGTTTGGGCGAATGTCTATTCTAAAGAAGCCTTTAGATTAGACATCTACCCACCAGAAGTTGTGCTACCAACTTGGTGAGTATTTCCTTTTCCATGGCAGCCTCGACCTGGGCTTTGTTGAGCTTGGCCTGGTGCAGCTGGGCCTCAAGCTGCACCTGCTCGTTCAGTTTTTCAAGATGCTGCTCCCTCGTCTGGTACTGCTCCGCCAAAAGTTTTAACCTAAAACGGAGGCCAGATGGTTAACGAAAAGCATGCGCTGGTGCGTGTGTGCAGTGTCTATATTTAGACATTTCGGTGGGGCAACTTGCGGCCGCTTACTTTTTGGTCATTTCGATGTTGTAATCGCGCAACTTGATGTTTTCCTCGTTGTTCTTGGCGAGGGACTTCTGTACGTCGTTGAGGGATGACTGGAACTTGGTCTGGCTCTCCTTTCGGCGTTCCTCCTCAACCTTAATCTGAAGCATGCTCTCGTTCTTCACAGACTTAATTATCCGCTGTTGCTCGCGGCACACCTCCTGCAGCTTGTCACGCATGAGAACGCTCTTATTGAGATCCCGCTGCACTTGCTCCTTTTCCCGCTGCTGGGACTCCATGTGCCGCTGGAGGACCCGCACCTCGCCGGTTAGCCGGCTCACATTTTTCTCGCTCTCCACGTGCCGTTGTAGCAGTAGCTTCACCTTATCCTCGGGCGTGGTGCACTCTTCGAGTGATTTTAACACCTAGGGGCGGAAAAACGTGGGATTATTCGTTTTATTTATAACCGTTTCCATTGCAACGGGTGCCGGGTGCGGCCAACGCCGATTTATGGATTCCTGAAAATGAAACTCACCAACTCCTCGAGTTTCTGCTCCTTCTGCTTCTCCTCGCGTGCCGCCTTTGCCTTCGCCTTTCCCAACTTCTCCATTTCGCTCAAAGTAGGTGCTATATTTAACTTGTATTCTTTCGAATTTTGACTATATTTGTTGTGTAGGTAGTAGGGTTGTCAAACTATTTCAAAAACCATCGACGGTGGATGTTACCAGATGTTTTTTATAAAATACCGAAACCAGCTATGGTATTTTAAAACACAGGGTGATTACAAGATATCGCAGGGGAAAATTAAATTCTCTTGTTCTTACAGTTCAGTGTTGATTAACGTTAGCAGGCTGTAGTTCCATAAGTTGCCGATACGAGCGTTGTATCGATTTACAGTTATTCGCAGTCTGGCGCCATAGCATCTATTGCACGTCTTTTTTATTATTTCTATTAAATAATACCTAACTAGTTCCAAATATGTCTGTGCTAGAGGAAGAATACATCGACTATCTGAACGAGAAGGGAATTCTGCCCAGACTTCTCGATATATTGAAGCAACTGGTGAATATCGATCCTCCGCCAGCGGATCCCTTGGTATACATTATGCATGTGCTGGGATGCCCCCTGATTCCGCAGGTACGATTGGCGTTGAATAAGAATGGTAACCATGTATGTTGACTGATCATCCACCACAACAGGCACAAATGAAGGCTTTGGAGAGGAAAGTTTCCCGTGCGCATGACGAAATGCGTTATTTGAGGCGTCTGCTAATCGATCTGGAGGGTGGCGATCACCTATACGACTCGGAAAGCGACTTGGAGGAGTACGTTGGCGACGTACTTAATACCAGTGGATCGCAAACCTCTTTAACCTTTGAGGGTACAATATCTTATATCCCGATTAATCAGCCACCATATATGGCTGATGTGACTGGGGTTATAACTGCCATTTCCACCTCAAAAGAGACTTCGCAGGGATCGTCATCGGGATCTTTCAAAGATCACCCCATGCGGCACAGGCGCTTCTGATATGCGCATATACATACTTCTTGGCTTTTTATGTACTGCGTAGATTTTTTATACTCAACTGCATGCAAGTAGTTTTCTTCAATTTTGTTCCCCAATGCATCTTGAGATTATCCATATGTCTGTACTATTTTTCTCAACAACGCTGGTACGATTTCTTTTACATATATGTATATGTATAAATGTTGGGTCTACAAGGCATGTAATTTTGTTAAAAAGAATGATTTTGTACAGAACAGTTCATATATATAAAATTACAATTTTTAACAAATTCGATTTCAATTCAAAATACTTATATCGCAGTAGCCCAAGAGTAAAATCAGTAGCATGATTGATAAGCATAAAATATATCTTAACTACGTAATGGATATAACTTTCTAAATATATCATGTATTGCATTTTATACGAGTTTTATTAATATCATCCCGAATATCCTTTCTGACACTCACCTGTAACATAAACACAGCGTTTGCGATGTGTTTTCCCATCCCCAGCCCCAGCTCCATTTCTAGCTGATTGGTATTATACTCATTGCAACCTGTGGGAAATCAATAACTAATATGTGGCATGTACGCTAGCTGGCAATATCTAGGGCCAAACAAACAGCCAACAAATCAATTAACTATAACAAGCTGGACGTGTAGTTTCATTTTGGATGCGAACCGGGAAATTCCATTTGCCTTCAAAGCTGAAATTATTGCTCCCGGTTCAGGACTCGGGTGAATGCAATTGCGGGTCAGGGACTAAGCCAATTCATCATTATTGAGCTGTGGATAAGCTGGAGCTAATTAAGACCTGCCCTGCAAAATGCATTGAATTAATTTTGTGTTTGACAGTCAAGCTGCAGAGGTTTCATAAAAAAATCGAATTAAAATGCAGAATTACTCGAACAGAATTACTAATTCAAGCAGAAATGTGTTCAAAATTATAATTAGGTACCGGGCTGAATATATTTTTAAATCAAATTAAATATATTATAGGTTCATTGCTGCATAGGGAAAATTTGTTTTAAAAAATTTAACATATTCATGGGCATGTATTATTTATTTTTATTTGCGATAAATTTTGCACTTAGCATCCAGAGTCCTGGAAAAGTTGCCAACCGTATGATTTACGCCATATATTTGTCACAGTGCGATAAATCCATCTAATCCCCCGGCTGGACCAACGACATCTGCATGTCCGGCTCGACAAATAAACTGCAGCAGAGCTTACATAAATATTTCTCCGAAAAAAGAAAACATATTTTGCCACATAAAATAAACATGTAGCTTGGGCCATAGGGGCGGAAGTAGGGCGTGGCCGGGCAGCAGCTGCTTTTAATTGCTTTTGCTGGTTTTTCAAACAGTTTGGCAACTTTTTAGTTGACACTGAATAATCGCTGCGGAAATTGTCGCTTAACGGCAAATTGTGGTAACAGCGGAGTGGAATCAACTTGATAATTGATTGGAGCTCTTTAAAGTTGTTTGCTTTTCCAGGGTCCTTTCTTTTTTGTACTGTCTGACCGCTTCCGCAGGCTATTCTTTTTGTATCCTGCTTAATTGGTGCACGCGCTTCGACTGCAAAGAGGCCAACGGTCATGACCTGGCGAGAAGTTTCGCTGTTTTTTTGGCCAAATCTACTTTGCATGTCAGTTGCATGTCCGAAATGTAAAACTTTTGGAAACGAGACTGCGGAGTTCGTCATTAAAAGACTAAAAACTAAAAAGTGCTTCGGGCAATTAAATTCATAAATGTGTAAAAATATTCAAAATTATTGAACTTGGCATTTCTTTTAAAATTAAAGAAAAGCTCTAAGATCAAGATATAATTATAAATCAATAACGAATCATTGTGGCTTTAATCCTTTAATTAATATTTATTATTATGATGTATAAATACAAATATAATTTTTATGGTTTCTGAAATCGTAAAGCAATATTGATGAAATAATTCCACCTCTTCTACCATCACCATGTAAGTATATTCTCAGAATGCCAGCATTAATATTTATTAATACTTCGCTGGCATTTCAGTTGGGAGTGCAGTTGCAAGCCGATTGAATCGACTTTTGGAAGCCAAAGGACCAGTCCTTCAACCCACCCCCTTTTCGAGGAAAGTGCAGCCAAAAATGAATGGATTCCCACAGTCGGAAATGGTTTTCCACGGGCCTGGAGCGCAGAAGGATGGCAAGGAGCAGTAGTGTGCCGCTTCAATTTCATGTCGAGTAAATTTTAATTTACTGCTCTTTTGTGACCGCATGCGAGCCAACAAAACTTTGGGCTCTCTCGCCTTTTTTTTAGATCCTTTTTACTGGCTTGTTTGTTTGGCTTGTTGGTCAAATGATATATCCGACGCTGGGCGCTTCATTCGGCCCGAGGGCGAGTGTGGAATTTTTAAAGCCACCGAACCGCCGAGCTGCCATTAGTTTTAATGACCGCAAAAGGCAAAACCAAAAAATAAAGCACCCGACCAACCGAAAGGCAAATGCTTAAAAAACCAAGTCGAGAACACCGAATACCACGTCTACCGAGTGCCGGGAGCGAAATAAAAATTCCGCCATTGCTGGCAGGCTAATTGAAGTCTGTCTGAGTGGGGGCGTGGCAAATCTCGAAACTATGCTTCATTAGCCAAGCTGCAAACTCTATTTGCCTAATGGGGCGATAGCCACGCAAAAAAGCCGAGCACAAAACGTGCTAGGCTTGAAGATTAAACTTAAAACCTATATACAAATTTCGACTGCAATTGAAAATTCCAAACACAACAATTAAAAAGCAATTAACTATGTAAATTTTCGCGCTGTTAATGAGCCAGAAAGTGGGCGTGGCCACGACCCAAATATATTTCTTAAGCATCCTTTTTGGGAAGAAATCCCTCTGGCATCTGACCCAAATACATCAATGTCTGGAAAATGTTTTGGGCCAACTGCTCAGCCACATACTCCCACACGCTCCAAAACATTTTATCATTTGTTGTCATTTTTCATGCCACGAATGGGCGAGTGGCAAAAAAAGGGTTAAATAATTTTTATGTGTCAACAAGAATAATTTCTGTCACTAACACGACTGCGAGGCGGAGTGAGTTGACTCGAATTTCAAGACTGAGTTCAGGAAAAACTGAAAGTCTGCATGTTAATAATGGAAACGAACGAGGAAGGACGAAACAAACTGGGACAAAACTTTGTCACGGCGTTTCCTTATGGCGGTGGAAACAAAAACCGCTGAAAACGCTCCAAAGAATAGCTTGGAAATTAGTACGATTGTGCAGATTCCAGAGGTGGCCAATAGCCACTCACTTCTGCTCCTATTTGTCCACCATTATGATGTGTTTGCTTGCCACACATCCTGTCTGGTCAGGGAATGGTGACACAAAATTTTTTTGACTAGGATTATCTTTATGGTCAAATTTATATTTATAGTTAGGATAAAAAACTCCTAAAGAATAAATTAATATTTTCTTCTATGTTCAAAAGCCAAGCTTGGCTCATAAATCCAACAGTGCGTATACTTAATATGGATTGCTAACTATGGATTAAATTTGTTAGAAAGTGAGAATTTTAATGATTTATTTCACAAAAGAGCTTCTTCAGGTAACTGTGTAGTAGCCTATTGTTTAATTTGTAATTATCTGCAACCGCTTGAAAATATGTACTATGAATTATGCCTTCATGTAATTAATTTTAAGCTCAATTTGCAGCGTTTAAGACAATTGATTGTATTTAAGCCCTCTACTTTCTATCCCCTCAAGCCGAATGTTAAGTTTTAACAAATAAATAAGCAAATTTGCCTTTCAAAGTCGAAAGTCTTGCAAAGTAAAACAATGGAAGCGGAAAAATAAGATGGGAAAAGCTAAAGAAAACCAAAAAAATATGCTGTGAGCTATAAAATTACAGTGAATGGGCGCTTGCAACGCTTATCAAAGCATTTTCCCTGCCGAGCATGCCAATGCCAGAACAAAACTACTTAGCGATGACCTTCACAGATGCTCCTTGGCGCCATCGGAGACCACCGCCCCCCATAAAGCTCGTTTTCAGGCCAACCTTCTGGCAGGTTACCCGGCAACAGCTTGCCATGGTCCAGGGCCATTATTAATACCAATTAAATGAGCTTAAGGCTGCTTCGTGTGCCCAATCATTGAATGCTTATTACGCATACGCCGCGTGGGTCACAGAAAGAAAAATTTAAGTAATGGGAAGTTCGTTAAGCTTTATTAAAATAAAATAGAATACAAGAGGAATACATCTTTAAAATAAAATAAAATTCAATTATTCGTATTGGTATTTCAGTAATTTACGTATAAATGCTATTTCCAGTGGAATAATAATCCCAAAATTTATTGCGTAACCGTCACAAAGGCAAAACTTTTTAATTGAAAAAAGTGAGTGGAAAAATTGGCAACTAGATAAGCCAGCGGCGGGACGCGGTGCCTCCTCTAATTATTCGGCATGACGCTTCATTAGAATACCGCAAAGAGAACAAGAACGAGAAATGCCTTCTTATTTCCACTTGTCCCAGGCGAAGCAGCCGCCTGATGAATGACTTAATCACCCAGAAAAGCGCCACACAAATCAACGGGCCCAACAGGGTCCCGCTGTTGTCACAGAACTTTCCCGGGGCCAACTCCGCTTTCGCTCAAAATTAATGGAGCAAATCAAACGAGCAAAAAGCAGACACCATACCGCAATGTCCAGTTCTTTTTGAGGAGGGGTTGGAGTTAGGGAGTATAGTCCTGGCTGGACTGGCTGTAATAATGACAAGATTTGTGTGGGCCGCATACAAAATTAGCGGAAAGTCGCCGCCATCGCATGGTAGCGTTTCAAAAATTTAAGTTCCAGGGCCGGAGCTCATTTATTTTACTCTGGACGAACATTCATGGCCCATTTGTATACTGGGTACTGGTTGAGTACAAGGGTATATTGTATTTGTGAGAATATAAGTTCAAAAGACCATACATGTTTTTTAAAATATATATTATATTTGTACTATATTCATTGTCTTAAAAATCTGATCAGAAACAGATAATTAAGAACCATAAAAGTAGGCAATAATTTCAGAATCTTTATTTAAATTTTAATAAATTATTTAGGGTGTTAGAAGCTTTGACTTAATGTCTAGTTAAAAAAATTAAGTCCAAAGGCAAAATTGCAAAAATATGAACTTCCTGTGCAGCCAAAAAAAAAAACAACTGCGCAGCTAAGACATCAAGATTTTAAAACTTCATTTTTGTGGTAAGCTCGTGCCGCATTTTAAATTTATAGCTTCCGGTTTGGTGCATCTGGAGGTGGCTTTAATTAAGTTACAGCAAACTTTAGGCCCACCCACTCCCGGTAAACTCGAGATTGGGTTCATCTGCAGGCGCAGACAATGCACATGGAAAATTCGTTGAATTGGCATAAAATGTAATAATAATTTCGCAGCATTTTTGG